ACTGCATTTTGGGTAACTACTACACGGCTTTCCAACTCCTGTACGAGCCCACGTCAAAGCCGACAGTGGAGCGTTGCAAAAACGTTGCAGCGTTTCGGCGCAAAAATGAGGTCACGAAGAGCGCTGGTGGGTGTTTTCTGATTCCGACAGCCATTTACATAAACTGCGCAATGAGAGCGAACGCGAGAATTTCGTCAGGCTTTGTGTGATTTTGCGTGTCACAGCTCGGTTACGAACACAGACAGTATGTTTTTATAACAAGTGAACACTGTTCTTCAAATAGAAACAAAGATGGAGTAGAATGGTTGAATATTTGTGTTGTATTCGTATGAAGTCAAGCGGGCGTCGAGCGAATTTTGGCAGCACGCTTTCCTACCTGCTATATATTTATTCTATGTTATGTGCACAGCAACGGGCGCAAGTTGTAACTATGAAGTTTTACGGTCTGTCTCTCTCTCCATCTTTCCCTCTCTCCCTCCCTCCCACCCTTTGCCCTATCTCTCTTTCTCCCTCTCCCTGTCCCTCTGTCTCCCACTCACTCTCCCTCTCTGTCTCCCTCTCCCCTTCTCTCGCTATTGTTTTTTTCCCACCTCCTCAAATATGTCATATGACCCAAATGACATGACAGCATCCGGATTGATCACAGGCTCGGCCTCATGATAGGCGGCTGTTGCTGTAAAAACTAGGCTGTTTCAAAGAGAATTCTGTTGGCTAGAACATCATTTCTGCAAGACCTGCTTCTTAAAATTTGATTAAGTACTGTAGAGTCATACTGCCAGTTACTTTTTTAACGTTTAAATCTATGCATTTGTATCGATATAGAAGAGACAACAAGACGAAGTGACCGACATGGTATGTTAAAATCCTACTACGGAATGGAGAAAGGCGCCATGAAGGAAGCAGGAGCTCAGGAGGGAGTAGACATCAACGGACTCTACTTCAAACCTGACCTCTACATAGAAAAATTGCTCAAGGTCTGCATAAGTATTACCATGTTGATATGTACTTAGGGAAGTACTCCAATACTTGTTGCTCACGTTTCCTGCATCCTATCATACTCGCACGTGCTATGGGGAGATGCATGTGTAATATGAAGATAATTTTCATTGGGAAGAGGCATTTGTTTGCTATTTGCGGGTTGTAGGCGCCATACATAAATACTAATGTAAATGTTGGGCAATGTTAGTAATCCAGGACTTTGGAATACCAAACTTGGTCCCTGCTGACATGCTTAGAGCCTGATCTGGTCATGAATTGGATGACCATGTAATGCCAGTGCAGCAACTACTTGTTTCTGTTTGCAGGAAAAGTCCCTTACTGAGTTGATGGACAAGGAGTCAGAGATGGTCAAACAGATACGCTCGCTAGACAGCGACATGCAGACCCTTGTCTATGAGAATTACAACAAATTCATCAGCGCGACCGACACCATTAGAAAGGTTAAAAGCACATCTTAGTAGCTTTTTCTGAATTTAGTAAAGTTTAACTTTTGTAAAAATTACAATGAATTTAGAGGCACCAATTTGTGTGATTGTAATACAAAATGTCACACGTATTTGAGAGTAACAAGTACATAATAGCGATTACAATGACCTATAGACTGATTGTGCATGCCACCTAGTATTACATAGTTCATCGCTAACTTTATGGCTTCACAACACTAATAGTAAAAACTAGTATGTTCGACAGGTGGGAGTGCAGTGGATCTGTAAGCCATAGAGCCAGTCCTGGACTATTATACAAATTATTTCACACATGCAGTGTCACGCCATGCTCATTTTCAAATTTTCTCTGCGTGTATCTTCAGATGAAGAATGACTTTAAGCGGATGGAAGATGAGATGGACCGGCTAGCGACGAATATGGAAGCCATCACAGAGTTTAGCGGGCACATCAGCGGCACGCTGCAGGACAGGCGCCAGCAAATTCAGAAGCTTGCCGGCGTCCACGCTCTGCTGAAAAAGGTATGAGGGAGAGCGCGCCTGAAAAGCCGACCGTCATATTACACGGCATTCGATCTTCCGCACGTGCTTTCAATTTTGGCACGTGTGAAATAAGATGCGGACACTGCAGTTACTGATTCTAAAGATGAGATTGTCCTATGAATCTAAGAGCAAAAGCACTTGTAGAATGCAGCAGTTGTTCTACCAGACTGTTGTTCTACCCATTTGATTGTTTTGGTTTCAGTGCGATGAAAATTCATATGTGTGCGGGTTCGTTCTACCCGGGTGCACGTTTTTGGTTCCAACATTTTGTGAATGCAATTGTGTGAAGTGTCTTGGCAATTTAGATCCTGCAGATTAAAACGCGATACTATTGCATGTCATTGAAGTACAACTGTTCAATCGTTTGCGTTGGTGATCGTGTGTATTGGTACATTGCTGAGTGTAGTGTCTGGTTATTTTACAGCTGCAGTTTCTCTTCGAACTGCCTGCTAGGTTGAAGAAGTGCATCGAAATGGAGTCGTATGCTCAGGCTGTTAGGTGTGTGCTAGTTGTTAGCGTCCATATGTAAAAAAAACTGTAGTGTTTATAGGACTAAATAATTCTGTTATGCTAAAGATGATATAGGCAAGTGATATAGGCACATCATGCGATTCATCTTTTTATACCATACTGGTAAAACATTGAAGAAGATGCCATGGTTGTATGTTAAATGTGTAAATCTAGTTAATTTTGTGGGATGTTCCTGTTTATGGCCATAACAGTTAACACAATGATGTTTGATACTGCTTAAAGTGATGTATGTATAAATAATCTGATGTGATGTATTACAGATATTATATGAAGGCGCAGAAGGTTTTGCTTCAGTACCAGCACATGCCATCATTCCAGGGAATCCAGGAAGACAGCGATGCTATTGTGAAAGAGTTGAAAACCAAACTCCGCCAATGCTTCCGCAACAAAAATGTAATAACTGTAATGGATAAGCCCAATCACGTTGACTTTTGCCTAGCGTGTTATATATTATTGTCCAGTGTTGTCTACATGAGTGGCCAAGCATGCATTCTGAAATCTGATCGATTCTTGAAGTTAGGTGCCTTGTGCCGCAACAGTGTAATAATATGTTGCACCTACCAAAATAAAATAATATGTTTGTATTGTCAGGTGAACTGTTCTAACATTAATAGTTCAATACTGAGTATTATGATAAATGCTTGTTGCTCTTGTTAACAGTTATTAAGCTTTTATCCATCGAGGAAGATTACAAGAAAAACCTTAGTAGAGCCCAGAGGTTGTATTAATGTAGTAACGTTTTTTTCGAGAATTGCCAATCCTGTGGGGTCTTTCTAAATGATGGCAATTTATTAGATTTGAGCGTGTGTGTGGCTATCTTTGTTACCAGTCTAGTCAACAAGAGTTGTCAGAGTGTGTGGATCTGCTGCTGCAACTCAATGAGCCTGCAGGTGAACTCTGTGATGATTACCTGGCACAGTAAGTCTTTGGAACCCACATTATTATTGATGCAGGCGTGAACACTCGTGTACACCTGCACACGCACGTACGCATGTATGCCTGCACGTACGTGCGTAGGTTAGTAAGTAAAAACGTTATGTAATGATTGTAGAAACATGTTAGGTGTAGACATGATCAATTGGTACAAACCTACGTTCCACATGACCATCGTGCAGAAACACATCACATGCACGCATACGTGCACAGCTGCACATACGCACGGAGACTTACACTCACGCACGCACACCTGCTAGCATGCAAGCACACATGCGCACGCACTAACGCACATGCCAACTACATATACACAGAGTTTGATTACTTTCTGACTTTTGCAGAAACAGCAAAGCACATGCAAAAATTTCCAGCTAGTTGTTTGTTCCCAGTCACATTTTGATTGATTCATCCTGGTGTACCTCACTGCCAGTCAATACTGATTAGCTTAAATTCTTTCACAGTTCCAAACAGATGTTAGATGAATACCTGTCACAGCTTGAGTACCAGGTGAAGCTGAATTCAGGTGAGGAACGACTCAAACTCCCCAGCGAGCTAGACAGGCCAGCAGAGGCCTACATGAATCCACCGATGGTATGTGACAACAGGCACTTATGTAAGAATTTCATATCTCGTAAACGAAATGGCCTTATGCTTGGGCCATATTGTGGTCTACCCTTTGGCGAATGAATGGATATAGACTTGACAAACTTATATCATTGTATGATTGTATTATGTTGGAGTTGAAGTTATGCTGTTGTGAATAGTCTGGACAGGAATTACTAGATGTTTGTTTGTTGAGTTACTCTTCAAAGCAACAGTAGAAATGGATGAGATTAAGGCATGTTGTTTATAGGCAGTCAATGCATGTCAGAGTCAGAGAATTTATGGGATATCACAAATTATTTTCAGCCTTGAAGGGATAATGTACCCGACATGCATTTAACTTTTAAGGCACGTGGTGAACCTTGTATAGGTTGTCAGTTAGTACCCTTTTATGGTTTCCAAGTTCACTTCCCAGCAAATACCTGTAAATTCTTCTTGTTTATTGTCAAAATCATTTATCTTTTGCATTATATTCCTGAAATAAATGGAATTTTCACACAATAACAAAATACAGTGAATACTTTGTCGATGAGTAGTTGGTAACGATTAGGGGTGTAGTGATTCACAGAGGTGTTGGTGAATCGCGATATGATCATCGATACGCGGCGTCCATATTGCAATGGCGATTGTATGCAAATCGTACTGGCGATACGATATAAGATAAAAAATTAATTTATTAATTATTAGCTCATCTGACGTAGTCAGACAACGTCAGTTTATATTAGTCAGTAACGATGTTCTTTTTGTGTCTGCAGGATATTTTGGAGTTTGTTGACTGTGGCAGCAATGTTTTTATCGGTAACATCTGTCTAGTGATAGCCTCATATACGGACATGTTTATCAACAGAACGACTAGAGACGAGTAAGTACTTGACCGTGAAAGCGTCCAGCTAAACTCCCATGTCACTGCATGTAGATCACTTTGTGTCTAGTCTATAACTAGATTCTTATGCTATAAACATATAAACTTATCATATAACACTCGCTGGAATGTTATGATTTTGCTGTATGCTGGATTGATAAATAAGTGGTGCATGCCAATAAAATCATCGGATATTTGATCGACATCATCGTGATCTAAATTTTTTATGTACTCTGCTTTAGAGATTGGGATGCCACAAACGAGATAGCTCATAAGAAGTTGGTAAACTTTGTCATGACTTTGATGGACCAGTACTTTTCTTACGTGGAAAAGAGGATGCAGCTAGAGGTAAATTGGGTAGCTGCACGTTGCACCGTAAATGTCCCTATTCTGTTCAACCTGCTGACTAGTTACAGCATCATCAACTGTGATAAGGAGAATGTAATATACATTTGTGTACATTATATTCTCATGCTGATGTGTGATATAGGAGCATATACTGAGGTTCACTTAGGGCTGTAGGTAAATGTGTAATGGCTTAATACCAGCATTTAATTGTATTGTGTGTCTGGTCTGGATTGGCCCTCATCTGGCACTATGTATTATAAATATGTATATTTCATGTTTCTATCAGAAAGAGACGGGCGATAATACAATCCTGGTGAGAGCATTGGATCGCTTTCACAGGCGATTACAGGCCATGAACAGTTTGTTGCCAGACACGGATTTTGCAAGGTTTGATTTGTAGACAGGCATTCTATATTCAGGGATGAGATTCTTCCGCGGATCCGCGGAAATCCGCGGATTTGACAGTCCCAGGGGTCGTTTTTGTGAAACGTCTAAATTCGTGGAGAAAATTGGGAGGGGGGTAACAATGTAACAATTTAAATTATATACCCTCAACAGCACCTGACTGTAGACTGTAGAGTGTAGACAGTAGGCTGACAGCGAAGTATACAGTGTATCTGTTTTTGCGTGCCAGAAAAGAAAATCCTTGTTCACAGGCTGCAGTAGAGGGGCAGACATTTGAGGTAGCTGATCACGTAACGACCATGCCTGGCCTGGGGGCCGGGTTTACATGTTGCTGCGTGCATGTTGTGTGCATGACTATGCACTGATTGTTCCATTCGCATTGTGTTTTTTTCATTCAAATCTGGTCGCAGCAAGGCAGCTTATGTCTGAGTAAAACAATGCAAGCGACGGGTGGAAACAGAAAAATATCATTATGTCTAGACATTTAATAAAAAAACTTGCCCTATTTTCAGCCCCCTGATTTCCTATTATAGTTCGTTTGTACCTTTTGACAACTTGAAAAGGTGATTCAAGAGTCTCCTATAATTTGTTCAGAATAGCTTAGAATGCACCAAATTGCACCATTCTTTTAAAAAAGTCCCCCGGACCCCCCTAGCATGGCGATGACCTACGGTCCTCGCATTGCTCGCTCCTCTGTTTGCTAATTAAAATTTCAGCTGAAAATTAAATTATCCAATCTCATCCCTGTATATTCGTGTGGGTATTCAGGTGTATACTGGCTACATACCACAACATGTAACATAGAATTTGTTCATGTAGACTGGACAGACAACTCTCAGTTAATGTAGCTCACACGCATCAAATTCTTGTCTGAATTCCTCTGTAATTTTCACTTATGTGTAATTCAGGTTGAGTTGTTATGTTGATAGCAAGATTAGCAGACAGTAGTTTTTCGTTTTTGCATTTTACAGGATTGGAACAGACATTGTGTCGCGGGTTGCCCACGGTCGTGTGATGCATTATCTGCAGGCACTAAAGCAGCATTTTTCCGGTAGTACATTGGTAGCTTTATCAACATTAAGTCTTCTTGTCAGCATCTATAGACTGGTGATATTTCAATGGAAATAGTAGTGAATCTTTGTAGCATGACAGGCTAAGCTGTAGCCTGTGATGCAATAGCAAAAATATGCTAGCCAGCATGATAAACATTCTTACATTAGCCTGCCACACTCAAATCAAGCCTAACTCACTATAATTTGACCAGGCTTGGCCGTTTATCGGACATAAATGTACCCAAAACACAAATATGCCGCCATGTCTGACCAAATTTTGACTAAATTTCACGTGCAACCCTGAGTGACTGAGTCTATCCTTATATAGCAGCAGTGATAATGAGTGGCCACCAAGATTCACTACAGTACTTTAGCACTGTGGGTCGTAAACCCCTGTAGTGGGAGCTAATGGCTACACATGTCGACCTAGGTTTACTCTGACTCTTTCTATGGCAACAGCTGTCATATTGAGCCAGATAAACTGAATGATCACTAATCTTGGAAAATATCAATGCCAAGCAACAACATTTATTGATGGGTACTTACATAACAATAACGTCTTACAATAACGATACACCAGGTCCATTAATTTTTGTTTAATGAGGAATATTTGAATCTCATGATATATATGTTTCCATACAAAGTGTTATCAAACGCATCTAGAATTACTTCACCTTTCTGTCATGCAATAATTTATATCACTCACTATCAGATATCGTTTGCATTATGTGAGAAATAGGTACTGCGCTATTCTTTACAGGTTTTCTTCGAATATCTCACTCATGCAAACTGATATGCTTTGCAGATTGCTTGACAGATATCCGACAAAGTTTGGCCGCACCTCGGATAGTTGGTAAACCAGAGGGTGCTGGCAGCAACAACCTCAGCGAACTGCTAATGTCTGCTGAAGTAGCTGTAGTCGATCAGATCAAGTCAGTGCTGTCTAATCTTCAAGTAAGCAGCGTACAAATAGGAATTCTACATACCACAGTTCTTCGAGTTATTTTTTGCACGTGTGCAAAAGAGATGTTGCCTCTTGTAAAAAAAACTAATATTTTTTTACAACTTTGCTCAATCATATCCTTGTATATGACAGTTGCATACATATAACATGGTGTGTGTGGGTAGAAACTAAATTGGAAATATACCTTTGTAGTAAAAAGAACAACCTATTATTCTATTGAATCCATTGCTGCTATTACAAATTCAAAGTCAGTAGCACAGTCTAACCTGAAATATGTAATGGCCACTGAAGGGAAACATAAAAACTTGTGTATCCTGTGTCCAAAAATGTCCAATATAGACAGATGTCAATTGACAAAAAGTAGTTTTACTGTATAACTGCCACTTAAATGAAATGCCAAAAGTGTTCTTTACATGCACGTGTTCTTTCTGTAGATGTTATACAGATTTTACTCTACATTAACAAGAATATTTACAAATATAGTTGACTGTTAATTGTTTTGTTTAAGGCATTTATCGCATTGGATATCACGTTTGCTATGAAGCCATACTTCAGGAATGAGTTCTGTACAGTGGAAGTCAGAGAGGGCCTAATGGTTGCCTTTCTTCAACACATTCATCACACTGCAATGGTAATTAATTACTTGTGCACCGTCACACTGAAAAATTGTTAATCATTTGTAGACCTTTGAATGCAGAGTTCTTTTTTAGCATTTAGAGGGCGATGCTTGGTGTTTGTTTACACAACGGTGGTCATTGTATTAGTTTAACATTTATGAATGAAGTGTCCTGGGCCAGAGTATTTATGCATCAAATAATGTGAAGATTTATTTATCAAAGGTCATGACTTTCTAAAATTGTATTCCATTTCCTGTAGGAATTTTGTGACAGCATGAGTGACCGTGGCTCGGCACCTCCCACACTGCTACTGCTGTTGTCCAGACTGTGTATAGACTTTGAGAATGGCACCATTAGCTACCTAGTAAGTAGTCTCTACCATGTAGAACGTGGTTTTTTATATTGTGGTACATTTAAAGTGTCCTATATACATCGCCCACTCGAAATATATGCGAACGTGCAGGTAAACATGTAATGGCTGCTATGTTGCTGTTGTTTGTGCTTGCAGGTAAATCTGGTGGATGATCAGTTCATGCTGGCGAGCAATCAACAGGTGACATCCATAACGAGTCTCTGTCACACATTCAAAGAGACTGCACAGAAGCTGCTGAATCACTACGTCAGCATGCAGGGCCTCATCATCTCTCAGGTGAATCGCTGTTCTCCCTCGCTACTACTCGGTCCTACTACATTGTTGTTATTTTTTTCATATTTTTTTTTCATTTTGCTGTAATGGAGATCTAATGGAGATCAAGAGCAGACATTTTGTTTGTGCAGCACAAGATGAGCCTAGTGTACAATGCTCCACGGAGATATACTTTCTTACAATTGAAAATTACTCATTGAAAATCAAATAAAATACATTGTGGATGGTTTCTATCATGAGCAGGTTAACATCAATTCTTTTAACAAGCAACGATGCAAGCAGGGACGTGATGACCTTTGCGATGGAGTGACAATGTTCGTTGAGACAGGTTGTTGTGTGATGTTGCAGATGCTGAGGAAGAGTGTGGAGACGCGAGACTGGTTGAATACGATCGAGCCACGCAATGTGCGCGCGGTCATGAAGAGGGTGGTGGAGGATATCACTGCCATCGACACGCAGGTATCCAGCTGTCACTCGTGGCTTTCATGTATATGGATGAATCACTGGATACAATCGTCACATTGAACCATTCATTATGCAGTTAGTCTTGAACGTTGTATCGATAATCGATATTGCATTTAGGCTGTAAACTTGATATATTACTACCAGCATAGGTTTTGTGCCGTTATTAGTATTAGCAGCATCAGTGGTTTAACTCCTTCAGCATGTGCTAGACGGTAAACTCGAATGCTCGGCAATTATTTGATGTGAGACCCACGTGCATGATATTGGCGAGTGTGATGTTACTGACAGTGCCACTGCTATTCGACGGTTTTAGTGGTGTCACGGGTCCGGTTGCTTGTAACAGAAGCTACCATGTGTCGAGTACTTTGTATGTACCATTCTGTCACTAGGTGGGGCAACTCTATGAGGAGGGTGTGCGCAAGGAGAGGAGTAGCGATTCGAGCAGGCGCACCTTTGGTAACTTCAGCATGTCACGCCAGCAGCAGCGCTCCCAGTGGGGGCGCTACACTCCAAGGTTAGCGACCCGGTTGTGGAATAAGCTCCCACCCTGCCATTTAGTTACCACTGTGTTGTGCGTTCTGGCACCCTGACATCTGTGTTTGCGAAATGCAAAAAGCAATTCGTAATGTGGTATTTGTTAAACTGAAGTCACTGACATATTCCAGGTACTTTTCCATGGAGTCTGCATATGTTGGCAGAGTGTTATTTGTAAAGGTGATAAGATTGATTTGTTTAGCGGTTGATTTTAGCAGTTGATTGAGGTTCACGGTTGATTTGTAAGGTGATCTAGTTGAGTGCCTATCAAAGGTCAGACTTAAGAAAAAGCATGATCACGCCCGTGCCAAAATTTTTTTCCAGATGCCACATTAGACAACTCAAACTATCTGGCAATCTAATAATATCTCAAACATCTTAAGAATTCAAAGAAAATATGAAAAATTGTATCATGTGTCTTATATCCAACTCCAAGAAACTATTATTTATTGTGACGACAGTGGGCAATAAATCTGGACACTGTCAATACTGCCCAAAAGTGATGCCCTTTTTTAAAATCCTGTTACTTTCGTGGATTCCATAAAATAATTATTTTTATTTTGCGTGTTCTGAATTCTGCTTTTGCACTAGAGCTGTGCGTCGGATCCGATAATCCGAATCCGATCCGATCCGAATCCGATCGGATTCGGATTCGGATCGGATTTACAATTTTTAAAGAATCGGATTCGGATTCGGATTCGGATTCGGATTCGGATTCAAAATTGTCGTTGGATTCGGATTCGGAGTCGGATTTTCAAAAATGCTGTCGGATTCGGATTCGGATCGCCGGGATCGGACCGTAGAATCCGACCTCCATCCTGTCAGGAGCAGAGCCTGAGCCGGCTACTTCATAAAACGAGCTTCAAGGATCGCGTACTATATCCGGCCAGCGTAGCACGCGCTTCACACATCACATACACACACTGTCTCACACACATATTCTCTCTGCTCGCTTCTTTCTCACAACACACACACACACAGCACACACGACAGCACGCACGCACACCACGCGCGGCACGAACACACACGCAAATACACCACAGGCACACGCACACGCACACCCAGCACACACACTGTCAGACACAACGATGTGAAATCGATGCGTTTTGCATGCCACACGCGCGTGCGCGGCTTTACTGTCAAAGATGATTATTTGAAGGGAGTCGGACAGTCACAAATTACAAAATAGATTATTGATTGTGACGTGAGTTGCGAGTTAAGTGTTGTAATCGTTAGTGTTGGGAAATATCACGTATAACCGTATAGCATAATGTATAATTGTATGAATATGTACAGACGTTTCGTAAATTCGTAGTAATTTCGTACCACCATGTCACTTACTGCCACTTAGTAGTTAGGACAAAGTGGAACTGAGGTGACGATTTGATAAGAAAAATTATCGTTTCCAGAATTCCCTGAATATGCCGTTCTCTGAACTGTTTCTTACGTGCTACATCCACCCGTCATCCCCTTGATCAACAACCAAAGTTTCATGGTTGAAACAAATCTATAACACGAATGTTTATAACGATGGCGTCAAACTATTTGCAATTTCTATGTTCCGGATTCGGGTCGGATTTCGGATCGGATTTCGGATCGGATTTAGCGATACACATCGGATTCGGATTCGGATTCGGATTCAAAAATTGCCATCGGATTCGGATTCGGATTCGGATTCGGATTTTTTTAAATGCTGTCGGATCGGATTTTTGGTTCATGTCGGATCCGACGCACAGCTCTATTTTGCACACGTCTGGTGATGTTATGTTGTATTTTCCAGTACCATAGATAACAGCCTGATGAGCAATATACAAAAGCTGTTCTCAGAGAAGATAGAAATATTCAGCACGGTGGAGTTCTCTAAGGTGTCAGTCCTCACTGGCATCATCAAAATTAGCTTAAAGGTATGGTTGACTTTATATAGTCACTTGTTTTACTTAATCGAAGTAATATTGACCAAGAGCATATCTTTTGCGAGTTGCTGTAAAGTTTGACTTGACTTTACCTTTCTGCTACGATTCTCTGTAATACCTCCTACTTGATGAGATGTGGTTTATAGACTGTAGTATGGATTGGTTCCTAAATGCTAGGTCATAGGCAACTAAAATGATGACATATGGAAACTGGATGTCCCAGTGTCCTCACATGAGCATTGCTCGATTCAATTCCCGTAAAACGGAATCGATAGCAGCCGCAAGAATTTATCTGGGGTTATGCTTCACGTGTTCGATTACGTCATAATCCATTTCAAACTCCCGACAAGCCATTGTAACCTTCCAACTGGTGGGCTGGTGAGCCAGGCATTGGCTCTGTGGCGCCGTGTTCTCGTGAGGCTAACCAACGTTGTTGGCCTTTCTTGCAGACGTTCATGGAGTGTGTGAGACTGCGCACGTTCGGCCGCTACGGGCTGCAGCAGCTGCAGGTCGACACGCATTATTTGCAGCTGTATCTGTGGAGATTCGTCACCGACGAGAAGTAAGTAATCGGACGCGCTGTTTACACTGACGCTTCTTAACTATGCCCGTCTAAAGCGACAAACAGACAAACCAGCTTATGAATCTCATAACCCTTTGTTTATCGAATGTTTGTGTTTGTTTTTGCTGAGCTCGACTAAAAAGCCGTAAAGAAAGTTACTCCTGCAATATCCTATGAATCCTTCATGTTCAGTTATGTTCCACCACAGATGTAAACACTATGTCTAAAGAATGTATAGATCTATACTATCTACTGAAATTCAATCTGGTTAGGTAAGTTTTTAAGTAAAATTAGGTTTTTTTTAGTTCAAATTTCTAGATCATCACGAAGGTCTATTGGTCAACAAATTGACTCACATATAGCTGCCTGTTGACAGGATAATTGATGTGGGTTACATTGATATATTTAGATTAGAACTTGTTAGTTTATTGTATGGGCCTTTTTAATGAAAGTGTCAATGACACTGTAGCCCACCACAAAAAAGGGCACAAATGAGTGAGTGAGATGAAGTCAGTTTTAATTGAGCAACCATAGACGTACATTATAGAAACGAAGAGTATATATGGGAGAACTCCCATTATATACTCTTGATAATTATGTGTAATTTTTTATGTGAAAATAAATGTTTGAGATGTGAACGTCTGAGATGTGGGCGAGTGATGGCGTTACACGTAAATGATCGCCATTTAACGTTTTTATAATATTCAGATTTAGGCACTGCATAAAAGCGGAGCTCCCGATGTGTAACGTGTAAGATTGAGAGGATACGCTTATTCCACGTAGCAGCAGCTGCTATATACCACGTGACAATGGTGTTTCCCTGCCCATAACACAACTTTTGTCAAAGGTTAATTGGTTGCATGGAAGTGTTTACTTCGTATGAGTTTTTCTAGGCGGTAGCACACGGTTGCCATCTGTATATCGCAATAATAATTTATAAACCAAAATGAATCACAATTTGTGACGGTAAATGGCGCTATACCCGCTTTGATGTTTCTTAGTGATGGCGTTCGAAATAAATAGTTTATGCTGCATTCCGACATGTTTTGTAAAACTTTACTCTAATATAGACGTTTTATCAGCAGGGTGGAGAGGAAATACCAATTTTGCATTAAAGATATTGTCAATGAAATCTTGTAAAACGAAATAGACGAGTGTGAAACCAAAGACTTATCTGCGTGTCTATAACATAATATGCTATATAATTGCCAAAACCTACCTAATTTGCATTTTTTTTTTAATATCAAAACCCCTGGCCCTTATTCATTCACATACCAAAAATAAGCAAAATCCGTTGAACCTGAACTGACTAATCGCAATTCCCATTTTTGCCAAAAAATTACCGTGGCTCGAAAGTACGTCGACTGGCGTGCTCCAAAATAGGACGTTCAATATGGGAGCATAGCAGTAACAACTATACCCAATTTCAAACATGTGGGTCAAACAGTTCCTGAGTTATCGTTGACCGTAGCCAAATGTTGACGGACGGACGTACGACGGACGACGACCCATAGCAATAGCTCATCTTGACGATGTCAAGGTGAGCTAAAAATAAAACGTGCTTAGGATAAGATTTTAATACAATAGCACTGTGGGCATTGCAAGTCTTGTGTCAGGTTGCCCAGTGATGACAACAGGTATAAAATGCTATTACTTTATCCAATGCAATCATTTCTTTTTAAGATGGAATCCAAGTCAAAAAGCTGCAGTATGTTTAGCTTTTATTCAGAAGTTATGATTTTATCTTATTTTAGTTTGGTTCACTTCCTTCTGGATGAGATAGTGAGCAGCGCTGTGCATCGGTGCCTAAATGCCGTTATGATGGAGTCCAGCGTAAGTATGAACTTTTACATTCAAAGCCTTTTTGAAACCAGAATTCGTTTGTTTGCATTTGTTTTCATTTGTTGGCAACAATAACTGAAGTGCTGCACTTTGGAGTGTGTTCTCAGAGCTTGAATGAACGACGGAACACTTGTGAAGCATGATAGTGCTTCTCATATCCGATACTCGTGAGTTTAATGCATCACTAGATGGCAGCACGTATCTGTATACAAGTGAACGTTTGTGCAAGAATGAGTATTTCTTGCCATTGGTCACGATCCAAGTTGGCAAGCATTTCAGCCATTATGCTTGTATGTTATATTGACCATGTTTTTATAGATACAATGACAGATCTGCAGTTCACCCTTGAGCAAACTCCCCAGTTGCTCACCCAGTTTCAAAAAATATTAATTTCGTCGAAGTAAACCAGATATAATAATAGGATTTTAAGTTGTATATTTAAATATTATTCGATTGTTCTTTTCTAGGTGGTAGATTTGATCTGTGACAGAGGCTGACATGAGTGTACTACGTCAACATAACTTGTATAACTTATTTAAAATTATTAATAACACTGCGATGGTCAGAGAGAGAGGGTCAAAGAAAATCTGCTTGTGGTCCAATTTTCTTCACACACCAACATTTGTTGTGAATGTGTATAAGATATACTGAGTTTTCCCCATATCATATGATAATTATGGTCCTAGTAAAATTATGCTAATATGATTCGTGAACCACCAACTTTACTTGCTTGCTCAGCTTATCATAACAATGCATGACAATTAAATAATGGTTATGAAGAATGGAGCAAGCTCCTGAAGAATCCTGTTCTAGTGCTTTTCATGTAATGGTTATGGACTGATGAAATTTCACACATAATATGCTAATCTAAATATATGATATATAGACTTCTTAGTTTCATTGTTTTACATCTGACATAAAACAACAACGTTCCATTTCAAACTGCACTACAATAGTAGTGTACATTTACATTACCAACCAGCATAAACAAGCCAACGTCTATAAACACCAAACATCCTAAACATCATTCACTGATACCTTTATAACATTTATTATCGCAAACATTCCAACATACCTTTTGAATTGCCACGTGCACTTTCAAACAGCTAACAATGCGATGGCAGATAGAGCAGGAGCCCCAGATTAAGAAGAATGTATTGGTTCTAATTCAAAATTACCTACTCGCGCATATAAATTACTGGTTTCTTAAGTTCCAATAATATATTAACCTAGTTTTACTGAAGACTCCTGAAGACAATCCTAACTTAAACAATTATTTAACTTGTACACCTTTGAATGGCATGAAATTACCTCCAGTTCTTTTGTAGTTTTGTTATCTGAAAAAATCAACATAATAGTCAATATTAAAATCTGGGTGTTTATAAAGCAGTGGTAAATAATATCAGGAACAGTGCAAAATTAAATTTGTGATTAAGTGATGCTGTAAAGCAAATGTAACAGGATGATTTCAAGTGTATAAGATGACCAGATCTCTAATCTTGAAAATTCAAAATCAGACAGTCTCAATAACACAATCGTATATATGATCTTGCAAGTTTTATTGAATGCAGTCTGGATAGGTGTAGGCTATCAATCTTCATAAAAATAGCCCGCTTCACCTCAACTATACAAAACTATAAACCTTACTGAATCGGTCTTGGACATAAGTATGAAACCCCAGCCAGTCAAATATTTTTATTTCTACTAATGACTTAAAAGCATAAAAAGCATAAAAATTAGGCAGTGCTGCTCAAAAGTTACTAATCTTGGATTGGGGGACGTGCTGCTACTTCCAACTCTGTACTGAATATCGCTTCTTATCTGCAATATTTGAAGCTGATACCTGGCGGTTACAGAACAGCCACACCCGTTTGAGAATATTACGCGATTAAGTCTTTAGGACGAGGTCTAAGACTTACAATACAATTTTAGTGTATATCGTGGACGTCCTCGAGCCAGAGCTCTGGCTTGTCATAGCCGAGTTCTTCTGGAGTATTGATTCCCAGCTCATCGAGTGTCGGACGAATCTCCTGCAGGAGCCATGGGTAGATCTCCTTCTCTTTGTTACCACACTTGTTCTGAAACGAGTGGATGAGGGCTACTTACAATGGACGCTCAGCAAAAGCAAGGGACGAATCGAAGTCGAGATCAAGTTTCCACTTTCTTACACTATACAGAATTGCAGAGACAGAGAGCAGTTACCTGCTGCACATCTTGACAGTATGTACCCATAATTCATCGAGAAGATTGAGTTGATCACAATAAATTAATTCATAATAAACAAGTTACTCAATTAATGATAAGCCATCCTATGTTTCAGCCTGCTTATAACTACACACAAACCACACGGCTCTTTAATTTACGTATTTCCTGACACAGCGCACCACATTACACACACACACCAAATATATGACTAACCTTCATTGCTTCCACGACGCGGACGGCCAAAGCGTAATCGTTTACCCGTCTGCAAGCGCGCAGAGCAGCAGAGATGATCTGGGGCTCTGGGACCAGATCATGTCCGCATAGATCATTGATGCCTTTCCTAATTTCCCATCCATCAATGTCAGGCCTAAAATAATGCAACACAAATCACAGAGGTGATAGCCTGATAGGGTTATTGATTTAAATGCAATAAACAATGAAACCCACACGTTTTAAAATAGTGATTTTGTGTATATGACAAGTACCGCAGAGCGACACCGCTCACCTGACTGCTAAACTCACTGGCAAACGAATCAAGAGCACCCTCCCATCGCCGCGTTCGCTCTCCCTCGTTGTCTCTCTCATTCTTTCTCTTTCGCTCTCTCGCTCTTGCTCTCTCGCTCTTGCTCTCTCGCTCTTGCTCTCTCTTCCATTCGCGCTCTCTCTCTCGCTCGATCATACTCTCTCTCTCTCTCTCTCTCTCTCCCCCTCTCTCTCTCGCTCGCTCACACTTACTCTCCCTCGTTGTCTCTCTCTTTCTTTGTCTTTGTCTTTCTCTCTCTTTCTCTCTCCCTCTCTCTCTCGCTCGCTCACACTCACTCTCCCTCGTTGTCTCTCTCTTTCTTTGTCTTTGTCTTTCTCTCTCTTTCTCTCTCACTGTTTTGCGCGTTCTCTCTCTCTCTCTCTTTCTCTCTCACTCCGCGTTCTCTCTCTCTCTCTTTCTCTCTCTCTCTCTCTCTCTCTCTCTTTCTCTCTCACTCTTTCGCGCGCTCTCTCCGTACAATCGTTACGAGGCCATAGAGAGCATAGTTAGTAGCAGCGTTCGCGGGTGATACTTTAATGGCGATTAATGGTGAATAATAACATATAAATAATATATATACTTATATATATATATATATTATATATTTAATATGGTGATGGTCATATATTAGTTTGTGGTTTAATGTCGTATGGGTTTAGGGTTAGGGTTAGGATTATCGAGATCATTAATATTAATCATTAATGATATCAAAGTTGGGAACGACGTGCTAATAGAGCGTTAGCCACGTTTCTGACGGCTACAGGCCATATACGGCGCGCGAGTATATTACTACGCTACTGGCGATAACGCGCGTGCATAGTTGCTAATTAATTAGATCTAATCGTGCTTCAATAGACTTAAAATTCTCGAGATTAAGTTAAGACATGTGTCTATAATAGCTAGAATTTATAGAAATGTAACCAAATCATTCGGAATCATATGAATAGTTCAATACACGTCTACTGGTCTAGCATAATAGCGTATGCGGCAGGAGTGCTATTTTACCTCATACCAATCACAGGTCGGAGCAAGTTCCTGCGTTAGTACACATGTTTCTAGATACTCCCACAAGTCAGTCTACTATCTACTAACTACTTTAACTAGCGCTGTAGGCACCGTCACTGTCAGTGTAATTTAACATTGTGTTATAATGGGATGGCGTAAAAAGGTTAACGCGTGTGGGGGTAAAGCCACACCACTCCAGGCACATAAGTGCAAGTGACACTGAAGCCTAAGCGGCATGGCACTGTCGAGTGTCTGTGCCGACAGGCAGCTTGAGCGTTTCAATCAAATATACATGGCTAAAGTAAAATACGGAAATCTAATTACTAATAACAAGCTTAATGTTTCTATAGCTTTCACCTATTATTGCGACAATTTCCGGAGAGAAGAGGCTGCAACAAACGCTGGCTGCTCGTCACACATGCTAAATATATAGCAGGTGCACAGCGTGCTGCCAAAATTCGCGTCGACGCGCTCGCTTGAATTCATACGAAACAACACAAATATCACAGTTCACTCATCTTTGTTTCTATTTGAAGACGTGTTCACTTGTTATAAAGGTACTGTGTGTCTTAAACCGAGCTGTGTCTGCGAAATCACACAAAGCTGACTGAAATCTGAGCGTTCATTTGTCCTGTTGGCGTTTATGTAAAGGCTGTCGGAATCA